TTTTCAAATTTTTGCGAGGAGAGATAAAAAATGAATTAAGTATTTCTTCTTTGACCTGCTTTTTGAAAACTTTCAAGTTACATTCGATGAATTAAAGTAAATTTAATAAAAAGTATATATGTAGAGCAGGGCGAGGCACAAAGGTCCAATTTGACTTTGAGCAAATATAAACCATAACAATTATATCACAACAAATAAGACATATCAAACGAACAATTATCTGACTACGTTCAGTAAACTGACTTCTACTTCATCATTGTAGAAATGTGCTTTCTTGCTGTCTTTCAAAAATTTGTTATCTAGACCTTTTTATCCTATATGCGGGGTAACTTGTAACAGGCAGGTGGCAAAAGGTTTAAAGCCTTATTATAATTTTAAAGGTATTTTACAAAATAATTACATTTTTAACTAATGCTAAAATTACCAACGGAAGAAAATACTTTTATTATGGATTTTCAATGATTACCGTTTATGTCCCCCATTTCAAAGATTATCGTTTTCAAATCAAATTTGTAGCTGGCTATACATCTTTTTTCCTCTACTTTCAAATATTGTTGTTAAACAATGCTTAACTTTACTGATTTTTGGCACATCGGTGGTGGACCTTTTTAATCCAGGACCTTCATATATTAATATCTATTCTGCGATAAATTCTGGGAAAATATAATTGGAAAAATGTTATTCGACAAAATGTCCATTTGATCGATACCAAATTTAGGTTCTGAATTTAAATAAGATACATAAAAAATAATATAACCTAGAAAATGTTTTATAAATACCAATGAGTATATAGTTATACAAATAAGATCTTTCAGAGCACCGTGTTTGAGAAAAATATGCCAAAAAGTGCATTTTCATATTAACATATCAAAAAAGTTTATATTTTGAGTCTCTAGTAACACTTGCGGCCCGTTTACTAACGTTTTTGTATATAAATAAAACTACAAACAAAACTACTTACTACAAATTTATCATCTTATATATAAAAATGGAGCTGTCTTTCAAATGTCCGAATAAAACTCGAAAACGGCTGAATGGATTTGGCCAGTCTTAGTCTTGAAAAATTCCTGCCAATCCAGAGATTGTCCAAAAGGTGAGATAATATTTCAAATTCGCGTAGAAACTTTACATTTTTAATTTGAATTCTCAAGTGTTTGCTCACTGCCTATTTGTATTCTTTTATCAACAGCTTGAAATAATACTATTATTATTGATTGATTAAGGCTTGCTTATGAAAAAATAAATAAATAAATTTGTTTCAAACGCTGTGTTGTGCAAGTACTTATTGGTTTAATGTGAATAATGTGTTACCATAACATTTTCTGAATTATATTATTATTGCATATAGGTTATTCAAATTGAGATCCTGAATTTGGAATTCATCGAAGGGGACACCATAGACAGTGATATGAATAAGAAAATTGGATTATAACACGGATAGTAATTTTAGAAATCATATTCATAAAAATCTCAATTATGTATACATACAAGTACAAGATCTTCGGAAACAAAGTTGTTAGAAAATTGCTTATGAAGATCGCACTATGACATGTGACATCAACATAAGTGCAGTTTAATTAGATATGGAAGTAATCATTACAAATATTTACAGTACAATCTATTTGCAATACAAATTTTTCATTACAGTTGTGAATAATATGTTACCAAAACATTTTATGAATTATATTATTATTGCATTTAGGTTATTCAAATTGAGATTCTTAATTTGGAATTCATCGAAGGGGACACCATAGACATTTCTGTATAATCACTTATTGCAAGTTATAATAGACAGCGATATGAATAAGAAAATTGGATTATAACACAGATAGTAATTTTAGAAATCATATTCATAAAACTCTCAATTATGTGTACATACAAGTACAAGATCTTCGGAAACAAAGTTGTTTGAAAATTGCTTATGAAGATCGCATTATGACATGTGACATCAGCATAAGTGCAGTTTAATTAGATATGGAAGTAATCATTACAAATATTTACAGTACAATCTATTTACAATACAAATTTTTCATTACAATTGTGAATAATGTGTTACCGAAACATTTTATGAATTATATTATTATTGCATTTAGGTTATTCAAATTGAGATCCTTAATTTGGAATTCATCGAAGGGGACACCATAGACATTTCTGTCTAATCACTTATTGCAAGTTATAATAGACAGCGATATGAATAAGAAAATTGGATTATAACACAGATAGTAATTTTAGAAATCATATTCATAAAAATCTCAATTACTTCCCGAGCATACTACATACAAGTCATGGTGATAACAAAGATGCCACTAATTTGAATACACGATTGCAAAAAAGGGAAATCAAAATAAGCACATTAAAATTTATCACAATATGTACTCATGTTGAAAATGTACATATGTTCAATCAAATTCATAAAGAAGAAATGTCCATTTTATATAGCTATATAACAATTCGGGGTAAAACGTTAACATGGCTGTACGGATTGGGCTCAGTCTTAGTTGCATCATTTTATATTCATTAGTATTTATAAAATATTTTCTAGATTATATTATTATTTTATTTAGATTATTTAAATTAAAAACCTAAATTTGGAATCGATCAAAGGGGACATTTTGTCGAATAACTTATTCCCAGATATAACTGACCACTACTTAAATAAGAAGATTCGGTTGATAATATAACTTTGGAACACACATCTGTAAAAATGTCAATGCACATAATTACAAGTTCTCTGGAATAAAATATTTTGAAAATTGATTATAATGCTCGCATTCAATTAAATGTATGGACAGTTCGGGTGCTAGAACAAGTATAGCAGAAAAATGAGTACAATTCTGAAGGTATTCCTTTCCATAGATATGTCAAAATCTATGCATTTTAGACACAGTCAGGTATCGTTCATGTTTTATTGAATCACTCTACAAATTGAAAAAGATGAAGAACTTCAACAATCATTGGATAATGCAATGTAAAATATAATTCACTAATGGTTATTTTCCACTAATTTTGAAGAATGAACTGAAAAAATTTTCTATGAATTTATCGAAGAATGGATAGTAATATATGAAGATATGGGGTTAATAAGATTCACCACCAATATCTTAAAAACCAGTAAAGTTTAGCATTGTTCAACAACAATATTTGAAAGTAGAGGGGAAAAGATATATAACCAGTTATAACCTTGATTCTTATGACTTTGCTATCAGGAGATAAACGGTAATCTTTGAAAATCCATAACAAAAGTATTTCCTTTTGTTGTTAGTTTTTTGGGTTGTGAGCACTGTGATTTAGTTCACGAGACCTTAATATAAATTTTAACTATTTAATTGTTTTATAAAATGTAATGTTAATTTTGAGTGAGATTCAACACTTTAAAAACTTACATCTGTGTGGAGCACAAATGACCAACTGAACATTGACCACGGCTAAAGATTAAAAAAGACTTGGATTGCTTTATACCATATTTTTATAGAAAGTGTATAAAACTTCCAGTTTGATTGTATTAACAAAATATGGTCAAACGAATATTGTTATTTTGAATTATATAATTTATTATTATACAAGTAGATTTTGAAGTTTATTGTGTTTATAATACCTCATTGTCGGTACCATTCAAACTATACATCCTTACACTCCTAAAATAAAGTATTCTTTTTTTATTCTGTAGAAGTTGCTTAGAAATACCTAACTTAGCAAAACAACGTTTGCCGGTTCAGCTAGTAAATAAATAATATTCGCGTGAAGCATCCTATTAAACGTAATTGAACATCATCTGTCAAAAGCGTTTGACATTTCACGAAATTGCCACCGTCAATTAAACGTTCATGTAAAGTTTCGCGGATTTGAAATAATTTCTCACCTTTTGGACTTTCTCTGGATTGGCACGAATTTTTCAAGGCTAAGACTGGCCAAATCGAATGAAGAGTGAAGCCCAAGCGTATGTTGAGAAACGGGATGAAGAGCGAATCTTACGTTCTGAGCTACGATGTCGTTAAACAAGCCAGGATTGACTCAAGAGCTGAACAATCTGCTTCAAAAGAGTTTCACGAGGAAGAGGAAGGAATACTCTATGGACCAGGCATCGCCGATTGAGAGTAAGTTGATATTTTAATAGTTTTTAACGGACTTGAAACTTTAAACGCGTTTTTCTCAAAACTGTGTTTTTCAAACTTTCCTCCATTGTATCTCAGAAACGGTTAGACCGAATTACTTGAAATTTACAGGGCACACTCAATATATTCAATATCAATCAATCGAAAATTTTCAAAACTTCGATTTTTTATAGCAAAAAACAAAAAAAAACGCCTAATTTGCAACTTTTATTTCAAATGTCTATCAAAAATCCAATTTTTTTTATATTCATTTAATTATAGGTCATTCCGTGCTTTGAAGCCTACAAATTAAAACGCCGTTTATTTTTTTTTTCAGATAAGCCGATCAGCCGGAATCGTGGAGGAAGTGGGAGCTCTTTTTTTCGAGGCCGGGGTGTTCAGAGCGCTGTAACTCTAGTTTGACTAAATATTTTTAGCTGAAATTTTATATTTATACTGTCCAAATATGTGTTAATAAATGATAAAAAACTTGAAGCTTTTGTGTTAATAAATGTTTACTGGTCGTAGAATCCTAAAATATCCCTAAAAAACAGGCCGTCACATAGGAAGACCCCCTTAAAATAAATTCGTTTTAAATTAGGCACTTGCAATGTTACAATGAGTATCAATATGTCCCATGAACATTTTATTTTTGACATGCTTTTCAGTGGGTAAACCATCCATATTATGTTTATTAGCAATTCTGTTCAGATTTTTCTAGAAAATTTAAAACTCTTCCAGTAATATTTTTCATGGCTGAACAACCCGAAATATGAGGAACAGATTGTTCGATAATTTATATTATAGTACAATTATTCATTTGGTTTCTAATAATTTTATATAAACTATCAAATTTTATTTGCTGTTTAACAAACATATATAAGAAAAAACAATGAAATAATTATTTACCAAAAAACTGCTTCATTAGAATCCGCACTTTTTCTTGGACCCAGTGCATTAAGAGTAGCGAACAAAGGAAAGTAAACAACAGAAAATGAAACATCTCGCAGCATAGTGGCACCAGTTCCTTTATATAGACCCAAAATACCTTTGTCTCTAATAAGTCCAAAAGTTAATTCAGTAGCTGATATCTTAGGAGTGGCTATTCCAGCTGAAAATAGAATATTATATTCAACCTAATACATAACACCTACCATAAAAAAAGACAAATATATATTATATAAAAGTTGTAAATTTATATTTCATTATATTTAGTTATATATATATATATATATATATATATATATATATATATATGTTAATTTTTTTTAATAATTTTGATGTTGAAATATGTGAGATTGAATCTTCAGGGCAATACATCAATTAAAAACTTCCTACAAGTTTTATAACATTTTTATTGTTTATATACGTTTCGACACATTGTTTTGTTTCATCTTCAGTGGACTATAGTTATATATATATATATGTTAATTTTTTTAAATAATTTTGATGTTGAAATATGTGAGATTGAATCTTCAGGGCAATACATCAATTAAAAACTTGTAGGAACATATAACATTTTTATTGTTTATATACGTTTCGACACATTGTTTTGTTTCATCTTCAGTGGACTATAGTTTGAAAGAACCGATTAAACTATTAATTAAAACTAATTTATAAAAAAAGTGATATGGCGTAAAAACTTAAATGTAAATTGTAATATTCCTAATTATTTCCTAATAATAATTGTTCACAAATGCACTACTAAAACACTTCTAGTCACATTAAATTGGAACGAAAGAATTTCGTATTGTACAACTTCGTATTGCGCATGTCGCAAAGTCGATGTTCGTTGCGACAGTAAATCAGAAATGTGCAACGCACGAATTTTTGTTTTATAATAATTCTAAATCGTTGATTTTGAATGTCCGTTGTTGTGCGTACTTGTCGTTCTTTGATTGGGTTTGTTGACAAGGAAGTTTCGTTGTAGTTGTGATTCTGACTACCTCTGGTTCTTCAACTTTTCTGATTGTTCTTTTTTATTCATCCTATATTATATAACAATCAGATTCTATGAGCAATATGGCTAAAGTACACATAATAATAATAATTATGAAATAATAATCACTGGGAGAAATAAAAAAAAAAATAAATAGAATGAATTACGAATAAAGAAAAATAAATAAATAAAATAAATAAATTAATAAATAAAAAAGCAAATTGTAGTAATTGCTCTAATAAGCAATTGACGGAAAACATTTTTTTTTACAATAAGTCTATAGGCAGTTTCTTATGTAGTATTCTTATAGGCGGGTTATCAAGCAGATAAGCCATTGTTGCATTAGGATGATCGTACATTGTTGCATGATGTCTAGTACTGATATTGTCGATGACGTCAACTACACAAAGTCCTACACATGTTGAGATCCGTAGTGTTTTAGATTGTAATCGTTGAACAAGTCACACATTTGATTTACTACAACATCCCTACGGTTGGATTCCATACGCCCATACAAGTTTAATTATGGTCTTATGAATTAGAAGCATATTATGATAATTGATAATGATAATTTTGATTTTCGATCAATAAGACAATTTAAATTTGAAAGCGTAAGTTTAATTTGTTTTATTTTGGCAACGATGTACGGCTTCCAGGTTAATCTGCGATCCATATGAATACCCAAGTATTTTACGGTGTTTTTGATTGGTATTTGTCTTTCATTTATGTACACAGCTTGAAAAGTTGACTTATTAAGCGTAATATGAGTGATATGAGTGGACTTCGCGATCATTAATTTTGATGCGCCATTTCTTTGTCCAGGTTACTATTTCATTAAGATGATTTTGTAGGATATTAGAAGAGTAGAATTTTCATTGCTGGCCAAAAACAAATATCATCAGCAAAAGTAGAAGGTAGAGTTCGTCATCGTTAGAAATTCACCAGTGAGCTACAAAAAAGGGCCTGATTTTATCGGAAAAGTATTGAAGATTCACAATTGTTTCTAACTTTATACCATTTGTTGGTTTAGTATGATTCCAAAATTTTATTAAAGCAAGACAGCAGCAACCATTTAATTTTTGCTAAAAGGCCTTCATGCCATACTTTATCGAACGCCTGGCTTACATCGAGAAATAGAGCTGAGCAATATTGTTTGGATTCAAAAGCTTTGTCAATTGAATTCACAATTCTGTGGCACTGTTGGATCGTAGAGTGCTGCTTGCAAAATCTAATTGATGGTCAGGTAATACATCCCAGTAACATGCGATATGGCCACAACATCGTGGCAATATTTTATTTAGGTCGTGTGACATGCGGTTCCCATATTCATTTTCCTCGATATTACATGGATACGGCCGAAATTTATGTAATTATCGAACAACTATCGAGGTTCGGTCTCTGGCGCACGTGGCGTTCGTGATACATGAAAATCGACGTTGACCCACATATGTTTGTTTATTATGATAAGACCGTCTGACGTAAGGCGTTCACCCCAGTCATGACGTCATTGGCGAATGAAAACGATTCGGTCATGACGTCATACAAAATGGCGACTCAGTTATGACGTAATAGCACCTGAAAGTGATGACGTAATGCAATTAATATTCTTTTCTGTACGAATAAGCATTTATTTACGTGAATAATAAGAAATTTTACAATATTTAAATATTACAAATTAGAATTGTAGTTTTGAAATTATAAAATTTTAACATGAACTATCTAGAAAACTTTTACAAATTATTCAATCTTAACATATTAATAACAGTATATTTAATGAAAATTGTTGTATATCTAATGAACGTAATTCTATTTTGGGGCGTGAAGTGTGAAGTGTTGCATAAGTATTCTATCGCCACTTCCTTATACATCAAACAGCCTGCCTATTTTTCATTATTTCATTCTATCGCCAGTTCATTGCATCAAATGCCAGGATACAGATTATGCACATATGACATACTGCCCCAAATTTTGGAAGTTTTCTAAAACAAATTCAAACATAATGTGATTTACTGTATATAATATAATATATATATACAGCTACCATATGTGTAGCTACCTACATGTTCAGTGTACAAATCTCCATCATCTTAAAGTCGCTTTTACACATACATTTTTAACACTGACTGATTTCATTCTATCGCCAGTTCAATACATCAAATGCGAGGATACAGGATATTCATATATGATGTACTTCTTGGAAGTTTTCTAAAACAATTTGAAACATAATGTGTTTTATTGAATCTAATAATATATATACCACTCCATATGTGTAGCAACTTACATATTCAGGAGACAAATCTAAATCGTCTTCGAGTCGCTTTTGCACATACATTTTTTTTAACCTGATTGAATTCATTATATCTTCAGTTCATTATACATCAATACATCAATCAAGTTCATGCATATATGACATACTGTCCCAATTTTAGAGGTTTTCTAAAACAATTATAAATATAATGTATTTGTTACCAAATAATATATATACAGCAACTATATATGAATCAACTTACATATTAAGAAGATAAATCTCCATTATCTTCAAGTTGCTCCTAAACATACATTATTTGAGCCTGTCTAAAGATCTGTATATTGTTCATCGTTTCATTCCAATTTTGTACGACTTCTGAAATAAATATGAACATGGCATACGTGTTTGCTGTTTATATATATTTGTATAGCTATTATATTTGTAGTGACTTACATATTCAAACAATCATTCTCGATCCGCTTCTCAACCGACTAATTTAAGAGATTTAAGAAGTGAGGTTATGTCGAACACATGGATATGTTAATGTCTTAATTTAGTAAAATAATTATTTTAACCTTGATAAACGATCCTTATTATTGTCCTCAGATTTTGTAAGATATGCTATTTGGTTACCTCCTTTGTCATCTAAAGAAATCGACATAAAATAACGTTTCTTCATCCCAGGATATAATGCACTAAATGGAATTCAAAATCGTGAAGTAATTACATATCTATATAAATAATATATAATATACTTACGGTGTCATTTTTCTACACTTTTCTACAATTATCATAAACAAGTTGCTTAACTAAACGAATGTAATTATTATACTAAAGAAAATATAACTTGATGCATGATAAATTCGTGACATTTTGCGCCATTTTGTACGCGGGTTAGGTTAACTTTCGTCAAAGAAACAGTCGGTTCCACCAGTGGCCACGGCGCGCTGATGTAAAGCTTTCTTTGTATGGTCACACACACACAGCACACAACGCACACAAAGCAGCGCACGACGCGTTTGCTTCACGCCGTGTGACGTCATTGATTATGCTTTGCATGTGTGCTAACACACACCAGCGCACGACATGTATCTCACATGAAATTCAACGATGTCATTACCCCCGACAGCGCGTGTTTATGTCTCGTGAGACACTCAATGCGAGCTTTGCGTGTATTGTAACACACACAAGCGCACGCAAGTTTAAATCCTCTTGTGGCGTAGATTCGATAACCGCATTATAATAACGATGTCGATATTATAGAAGATCACATCGCGTGTTTACTGAT